CAGCCGCTGCCACAGAACAATTAAGAATGTGACATCACATCCAATAGTGTGCTAATGGGCTTGGCTGGATGTATGAATGCTTGATATTAGGCTACTCTATCGTCCTCAGGGCTGGGTGAGCTTCTGGGTTCGAGTCTGGATGCCGTAGACACCATCTGGGCTGCGTATAGGGTCAAAGCAGCAGTGCTGTCTGGGAAAATCGCCAGAATCCCAAAGGTACAGATTCCCTCGGCTGCAAATATGCAGCAGTGAACATTGTCAGCAGTGGCATATTGATTTTATGTATATGCCTTGCTTTCTGTCATGATGCAATTTTCTGTCAAAGCACTGGCAGGAGAGCACCGGTCCAATTATTGAGCTGGCATGTTGCCAAGCCGCCTTAACTACATCTACGAAGAGCCCAAATATATCCACCTTTCAACCAAATACACAATTTTTTATGCAGGTTATATGCACAAAACTATGTGTTTCCTTGCTGTCCTTGTTCTTGGTTCTTCACTGTTCACAGAGTCACTTTAAAGCAAATCGGTTCGCTCACCCTGCAGCAATATCCAGACATACAATTACACTTGAATGGGAAAGCACTGAAATGTATGTAATTGTTTCATGAAATTACTTTCCAAGTAATGTGCCTCTTAAAGCTGCAGTCCGTAACTTTTGGTGCTCTAGCACAAAGAACATTGTAGCCTGAGCTACTCTCTATTTATGTGCTACGTCAAAGTCCGTATCCTTGTCAGTGAGTGCTTGTCTTTTTATTGTTTCTGATCTCCCATAGGTTAAGTAGCGGCACCTGCTGTGGGTAATCAGCGCTCCCGTGTAGCTCCCAATGCTGATTCGCTCTAGCTGGCATGTGCTTAATATAAAAGCTAACCAGTTTTGCAGAGTGGGAGAGGCGGAAGGTTTTTCCGTCTGAAGAGATCCTTTCTCCTGGTCCAGTCCTGTTTTAGTTCTCCCCATGTTGACTTTTTATCCTAAGTAAAACTTATTACTGAGGTGAGAGATCAGTGCAAGGTTGTTTGGACTGTTATAATTATAGTTTTGGTTGTATTGTTTCTTAATCATTTTTCAGTTAATTAAGTTGTAGGTGCCATTTAATTTGACCTCTTTTTCTCCTGTTTATTTCAGGTTTAGAATTATCTTTTATTTACATCATTATTTTGGTGTTAGGTTATTTAGTTGTTCAAATAGTTAGACTTGTTTTGTTTGTTATTTTGGCATTATCCTTCTCTTGAAGTAAACTATTTCCTTTGTAAAGTCTTGAGTTTCCTTGGTCACTTATTGGGGCTGTCAGTTAAACGCATTAACGGCGTTAACGCAAACCCATTTTAACGCAATTCATTTTTTTATCGTGAGATTAACGGTCTTTCTGGCCTAGCAAACTTTGTAGATTTTTCACATGCTTATGCAACAGGACGCAGCATTCGTAGCATTGCACTATGAAGCCCATTGATTTCAATGGCTTGTGGTGCGCGAGGATGGTTTTTGTTGCTTCGTCGACCAATGCGCAAGCGCAGCGGCGCACACACCATGGCCAAAATTCAATATAGTTCAACTGCCGCTGTGACGATTACCAGAGTGGCCAATAGAAACGTTTTGGCATCCAAAAAGTTTCGAAAATGGGCGTAGCGCTGCGCATTCCCAGTCCTGTCTGAAAGCACTGGATCTAGCTAGACTGGAAACCAAATAGTAGGTTAACATTACGTTTTGAGTGGATGACGAGCACAAAATGCCGAAATGGATGCCAATAAGATTCTGAATGGAAAGTTTTCTTTTAAAAAGTTGGCAAATGGTTCCATTGACAAGACCAAAGTGATCTGTGTGTTTTGTCATTGTGAACTGAACTATTGTCATCACAGCATGACCAGTCTAAAATACAACTTGATGGCCAAACACAAACACACACACACACAGTTGACGTGAATTCTGCTCCCCCTCGTCAATATCAGGACCTCGTCACTATTTCTTTCACCCTTTTATTTATGGACAGTATTACATCGTGTGAGTATGGGGTGGAGACACTTCTACGTGGAGACAAATCCACAAATAAGTGGACTCCACCCACCGTTTCCTCATCCCAATCAGATAACGACCACATTGGAATGACCAATCATAGCACCTTCTCGCCACAACCAATCACGTAAGACTTTACACTCGGGGCGGGAACTGAATCTGATTGATTTTGAAGATATTTACATCCTTGAAAGCTGTAAACTATGGGCAGTTCATTCAAATTGAGCTGTTTGTGTGGTTAAAACACCCTGTTTCCAAAAGATTGTTGGAGTTTAAGGCTTCTTTATATTTCCATCAGGATAAACTCAGGGTTACACACAATTTAAGGTTCATCAAGCGGACTCAAGCGGCGCGACACAGCGCGTCAAAAGCAAATAGCCCATTATCTTCCCTGCTGCTGTAGCAGTTTCAATAATATAAAACTAACGTGTTTGCAATGTTAATACATTTTTCCCATGACGTCTGTTTTCTTACCTGCAACCTTCCTTGACTAGTGCTGGCTACATACATAATTCATAAAAGTGTCACTCTGGACGCAGCACAGCACGACACGATGATTCATTGATAGTAAACGGATGCCCGTTCTTCCTCTAAAATAGGGGTTACATGCAACTACATGGAGGACACACTACTACACATTTGATTTGACCAGTGTAGACAGCCTCGCACGGGGTAGACAGACACGATGTAAGAAATGACAAAACGGATAATTTTGTCTTTTAAAGCACAATCGTGGTGACAAATAGCTAACTAGACATAAATATTATGTAGAATACCAAATATCAGCCTATAATGTAGCCTATAATGTAATGTTGAAAAAATACATCTTTGCATTTAGTCAGATTGATATGAAATATTAATTGTATGATCAAGTGTTTTAACTGGGCATTTCACTTTTAAATGTATGAAACATATGCCCTATGGATCATTAGATCCACTGACCTGCTGTGTATTTAAAACTTGACTGAAGAAGCTGTTGTGACAGTAAAATCACCTATAGGCCCTATTACTCAAACTCGTGTATTTATCACAAAATTGAATCCAGTTATTGATGCGTATCTGTTTTATCATGAACAACGTGATGCTTCCATAACACGTTGTTCCCATAACATAGAAGTACGCGCTGTTTCTCTGGCAGTTTCAAAGCCGCATAAAAATGTGTCTTGGCTTGATACACAGACTAATGGTCTGACTAACTCTAGCGAAATCCAAATTTTAAACACATTTTACTGATGCAATATTATGGGCCTTAGCCTTACACTAGCTATTTGAGCCAATGCACAAATGAATGAGCAAAGTTATTTCAGGGCAAGACCCTGATTGTAAAGCCTAACGTGATTGGTTGTAGCGAGAAGGTGCTATGATTGGTCAGCTCAATGTGGCCGTTTTCTGACTGGCTTGAGGAAACGGTGGGGAGGGGATTTGCAAATACACAAAAAGCGGTTCACAAATCAATGCCAGGCAGAGTTATGTTTGTGACATAAAACACATCTGTAAATATATGTTTTGCAAATATCATTATTTGTGAGTTTTATTGGTTTTTGAGAAACTCTTCACATTTGTTTTAGAATCTCAATCTATTTATTTGGAATAATGCAACAATTCTAACCCCAATATGTGAGGTGTTTTTATTGAAAATCAAACTGTCTGAACATCATTCTAAGTAAAAAAAAAAAAAAAAAATCCATCCAAGCCCAAAACCAAATGAAACGAATGCAAACCATTACTACCCCAGGTCTATTTCTACATTTACCAGCGTTAGCCTGTTTACTTTTCAATTACACCTTCTGCCGAAATGAAATGCAGTTCTCAAATGGCCCTGGCGCTTTATTCGCGGAGTGAAAGGTGAGTCATTAGATGTGTCTCAGTGGTGCAGTTTTTATTTGAATCTCGTCGGAATGAAAGACACTTGACTGATAACGGCGAATCGGATCAGCCTTGTCGATCTCAGCCTGGGTGAGTTGCTAATTAGAAAAAGGCAATGAAGAACTATCGTAGCCAGATTAAAGAAGGGCTAGGAACAGCCATTAATTGCACTTCTGTGCCAAGGCAGTGGGAGAAAAACACTCACACACACTCAAAGAAAGCGGTACACAGTATCCATGTCTTTTGCATCACTGGCTGAAATGTCTCTCTGGTTTCCCCAACATGGTGCCCAGAGGGATTAAGCGTGATTACTGAAGCTAATTACATCTTTTACAATGTGCCGTGTCAACCCAAAGCCATAGGTACTGTAGCGAACCTGGGAAATTCCTATTAGCTCATATACCAGGAATATAATTTTTATAACTACTCATGAAACATGATCGGGGAATCACCTACAAATTATAAAATTACTCGTAAAAGGGAAAAGTTACCAACGGCCTGTTTGGACAGCCCAACACAACAAATTATGATCAGTGCTGCTGCGATTAGTCGACTTAGTTGACGTAATCGTCCATGCAAATTAGTCTACGCCAATTTTTTTAGTCGACGTGTCATTTTATTATTGACCACATATTTATTTTTGGTCTCCCGTGTCAAACGGCTCACTGTAATTCACCTCCACACACCAGTGTGTGCTCTGTGTGTGTTAATAGAGGATTAGATTAGGACTCTAATGACTAATATGGTATAGCCTAATGGAAATGCAGATACGCATGTTTAGATTGTTAATACATAATGTTTAACAGGTGACATTTTATATTTTTGGCCCTTCAGTTGAGTTCAAAATAAAATAGACACAACCGGCTGTGTGTGTGTGTTGTACACAACGTTCCTTCTTGCCGGAAAGGGGGAATGCTTTGTTTTAACTCACGTTACCTATAAACGTGTCAATGAATGCCATTAGGAACAGGTGGTGAATTACTAGCCGTGAGTCAAAGGATAAAAGCTTTTCAACTGTAGATTTGAATGAGTACCAACTGACAGAGTCCAGATACCCTAAAAAACCTTTGCTGGGTCACCCAGAAATTTCCTAAAGATTAGACTAGCAATTATGCTCTACTTACATTCTGTTGCTGGGAATGATCTTGTAGCCGTCCCTGAACCATGTCACCTGTGGCCGCGGGAAGCAACTGACCACTGGGGAGTTGAGGATGGCAGCCCGGCCCTGCGTCACCGTCTTTCTTTGGTCATTGTCTATAAAGTCGCCCATATCTGCAAGAAAAAAAGTAAGGGGTGTTATTGTAACCATGGGAGAACATTTTTTTTTTCGCCAAAACAAAGCCACCCTGATGATACATTCAAGCCAACAGAGGCTTTTGGTACAAACTGCAGAGGTGTTCAATCAAAAACATTTATTCAAACATTTATTCATGGCGCACAGCAAAGCAAGATTGCATCATCATGCAGAACAAAAGAACTTCAAGCAGATTGTGCTTTGAGTTTGTTGACATGCTGTAATTCCAGCGGTGCAGTTTTCGCAATGAAGTGTTTAAAGCTCTCGTTTATCGGATGAAAAAGCCAAAAACTATTCCTAAATCGGCTAACATACACTTAAGTTTTAGTTTATTTATTTATTTGAGCATTAACCATTCTGCTCAAAAGTCGAAGCAAAAGAGCTTATAAGCGCACAACCCCCAAAATTAATACAAATAATATTCATTTCACAATACAACAAAGGCAAATTAGGCAAAAGCAACAAAACGACAGCAAAAAAATATATACAAACTTGCAGTATCTGATCATTGTAGAATACCCCATAGTGACAAATCATTTCTTCTTCTGTTTACTTTTCAAAAATCTTTTGTTAGTATTTATATTTAAAAAGATTGATGTTTGGACTTTGTTTCATCTCTATCTCCAAATTATTACACAATTGTACCCCATTAAAAGGAACCCACTGACTTTTTGGGACTTTAGCTTATTCACCATATCCCCCAGAGTTAGATAAGTCCACACATGCCTTTTTCATCTCTATGCGTGCTGTAACTGTCTGACGCACCCATCGCTAGCCTAGCTTAGCACAAAGACTGGATGTAAATGGCTCCAGCTAGCATACAAAATAACGCAAACATTTTCCTATTTACATGTTATGATTTGTATAGTCACAGAGTTTACAAATAACAAGGTCATATGAGACACAGCCATCTTTTAACCATAGAACTTTATTCTCAGAAGGCAAAGCTCTTTACAATACAGCGAACACTCATGACTGCAAACTATGCTTTTACTATCTAGTGACTGCCATAATCCCGTTTTCCTCGGTTTTCCTCCGCTTTAATCTCCACAACCGGAAATGGACGAGCATCCCTGCGTCAAATGCGGAATTTATGCGTGCATATAGCCCATATTTATATGGTTAAAAGATGTCTGTGTCTCATTTGACCTTGTTATTTGTACTCTCTGTGACTATATAAAACGTTAAATTGTTGGCTCTTTCATACTAACAGATTGGCAAGCGTTCATCATCCGCTAATCCCCCACGATTTGCACACGATAACACCCTGACCTGTTGGCGAGCTCAACGATTTGCAAATCGGGCATAAATCGGGCTTAAAATCCTGTAGTGTGAACTTGGCTTAAGTTGTAAATAGAAGTCTTGTGAGAAGCCAGAACGAGCGAGAAAACACAAAGTTAAAAACACTAAAGTTAATCCTCTGGTGTCGACAGTGACGGTCATGCATATTAGGTGTTTAACTGTGTGGTATTGGGCAGTTTACAGTCTCCTTTTCTGCCTGAAGGTATCAGTGCCCGTAATCCAGATTGGCAGCACCTGTGTTAGAGCCAGATTGGGAAAAACTGCGCTAAACGCTGCGGGAAGGATAAATACTCTGGCTCTTTGAATTTCACGCTCTCTCTGGTTCCACTCCGGCCAGGACACACGTTTTTGTTTTGTTATATTATGTTTTGTTGTCGCTTCTCAACGCCAAAACATAACGTCATTCATCCACATTTACACTACTGACGCTACTAACTAACACACAGAGCGGCAAAATATCAATATGAATTAGGGCTGTGCAAAAGTTAATTGCGATTAATCGCATCCAAAATAAAAGTCTGTGTTTACATAGTATATTTGTGTGTGCTGTATATAATTATTTTGTATATATAAATACACACACATGCATGTATATATTTAAGAAAATGTGTTATTCCTATATAAAATATTTATATTTATATAATATAGATTATGTATTTATATATATATACATAATTTAAGCGCAAATAATTCTTAAATATATACATGCATGCATAGGTATTTATATATACAAAATAATTATATACAGCACATTCAAATATATTATGTAAAACAGACTTTTATTTTGGATGCGATTAATCGCAATTAACTTTTGCACAGCCCTAATATGAATATATGCTTACAGAGAGCGCACGCTATGCGCTGATTTCACTCAGCTACCATTTTGAAATCGAAAGCGAGGCTCCGGTGGGAATATATTTATAGATTTATAAATTTCACTGTATAGTCTAAACTATATTTCATCGTGGTTTATCGTGTAAAACTCTTGTGAAGATGTGGTTACTCTGACGCAAAGATCAAGCTTGCGCTGTGAGACTTATCTAATATTAAAAAACGGGTTCTAACTGAGAAAGCATCAATGTGACCATTGGGAAGAATGAGTCATGAAGAATGATTTCTCATTTAATCACTATGACAACATCCTGGCTGAATGAATGTTTCTCTGAGTAAAAATGTTGAAAGCATCTGGAACAGTCAGTCTGGGTCATTGTGAACCTTTAAAGCACGTTATAAACTCTACAGTAATGGTTCAACGCCTAGTCAGCTTACTCGTTCGGGTTTAAATCATGCCTTATTCGAGACATACATGGGAACATTTAAATGGTATCACGAGTTTTCAAACTTCTCAAAGGATACAAAAGCACCATAAATGTATCACATACAGTATGTATGTATGGACCTGTGCATTGTTTAGATGTCTGTATATATTTCCAAAAAAAAAGTGACAGTAAAGACATTTAGAATGTTAGAATTTAGATATCAGAAAAATTTCCACAGATTTCCAAGGTTTACACAAAAATATAAAAAATAAAAAGATTAAGAAATATTAAATACTTTTTAACATTGATAAAATTAGGAAGGTTTCTTGAGCAGCAAATCAGCCTGATTTCTGAAGAATTATGTGTCACTGAAGACTGGAGTGATGATCATAGCCATTACAGGAAGAAATGACATTTTAACGAACTATATACATATCCAATATTGGATATTAACATCAAATAGTGTAAATTGCGGCAGCACCTTCAGATTGGAAGTCCAAGCCATTGTTGTCTATCTGTACTTCTGGGATTCTTACCACCAGAGTCTCGCTTTCGATTTCAAAATGGCGGCTGCGTGAAATCAGCGTATAGCCTGGCTAACGTCAGACCCAAGTCTCATTGAGTGGGTCTGGGAACCACATGTTCATTTTCTTGTATTTGAGGCGTGGTTTACGAATCCCCAGAGCCGTTTATTGGGTGCTAAGAATGTCTATCAACTGCACCTGTACGTAGCTCATAGCCGATCGTTTCAATTATACTAAATGACGTATGTAGAGCAACAGAAAATAGACGAGGGGTCAGAGATTTATGTGTCTTCCAGTGTGAATACTCTCGCGCAGCTGCAGTGACGATGTAGTTAAGTCCCGCTCACGCGCGCATCGAAACGTAACTTCGCGCCTGCTGCCATGTTGGATCCATAGATATAAACAAACTGCTTTGGTGTGTCGTCTTCTACTTGTTGCGATTTTACGCCGATTGGCATTTCGGTGTGTCACATAGACGTCATCATCATCTTGCTGCTCCCTCCCCGTTCTGTGATTGGTTTCCTAGATGAGGCAAAAATCGGCATCATGGAATCCAGACTGTCTAGCAGCGTGAATAAAATCGCGCTGCAACATGGCAGCATCGGGAAACCCAGGCTAATTTTGCTCTAGTTTTAATAAAATAAATACAGCCTTGATGAGCATTAAAAAAAAATGTACCGACCCAGTGTGTGTATGTGTGTAACATCTGATCTACCATAGAAACTCACATGCCACTTGTATCTCGGCTCTTTTCTGGAGTAGAGCGCCCATCCTGTTTCTCACCACACACTGGTAAACACCCATATTGGATCGCTGGAGAGAGGAGATGGTGAACCTGAGAGAAAGAAATGAAGAATCAAGCACTTTAAATCAAATCCAAAAATAAATAAAAAACAACAACAACAAAAACAACAGTTCCCTGCCTGCTATATGCCAACAAATTCAAGGATTTTAGACTAAAATGTATTCCCATTTAGAGGGGTTGGGTTTAAAAGGTTTACCCTTGCAGTCACAACTATCCTTTTTTTCCCCCGCCAGTTCGCACATTAGCGAGAGAAGAGCACATGGAACTCGTCTCCATGCCCAGCTATGATGACGTATATCAGGTTTCAGCCAAAAGGCCACTTCGACTAAAAGCAGAGGTGGTGAACGCTTTGGCATTAAAATCTGTTGGCATTTCCGAACACGCTGAATATATGACTAATGCACTGTTGCTCACTACTTAGCCGAATCTGTTTACGTCTCTGAAAATGCCACCTGGTGGGTTTGTGCATCTTGGTGGTGGTTTTCCTCAATAAGCAATACTAGGGCAGCTCTGAGCGTGCTGTTTAGGTGATGAAAGATAATGAGAAAGCAAGACCAATTAGAGCAAAGCAGCTCTGTAGATGGACAATCTGCACAAACACTTGACATGAGGAGGTGCAAAGATGTGAAACACCTACTTTAGCATGTATACGACTCCTAAATGGAGGATAAATCAAAACATTTAATGTAAAAGTTGACATTAACTATGATTCAGGTGTCAGGAGTGCACTTCGGGTAACAAATGAAAGCATTATTTGTCTCTGAAGAGAGCCAGGCAGCGCTGCAGACTTTTATATTAAGACTGAAGGAATCTGTAGGGTCAAATCTTCAGCAGCTTTAACACTCCGCACGTCTGAGGAAATGTTGAATGCAAACCGAGGCTGTGTGCTGATTAAAAAAGGTCAGGCTAAGAGGCTATCATTACTGAGAAATTAAACACATGGCATGGAGAGAACTCAACTAGGAAATAATACGGTTGATTACTATGGCATAAACTAGAAGAAAAATGCAAATGATTTGAATGCACTTCCCTTCTAATAATTTCATTTCTTGATTAAGGGAACGTTCCAGGTTCAATACAAGTTAAGCTCCACGGACAGAATCTGTCACAGAAAATAATGTCAACTTGTTTCAACAAACAAAAAGTGCATCTGATGAAATTTGATTATAATGGAAGTCTATGGGAGAGGTATCACATTAAAGTTAACATAATTAGTTTGCCTCAAAAGACACGAGACCTAATGTAAAGAAAAGTGTATGATCATTTACTAGCTTTGTCTATGTTGTTTTTTGACTATCCGACCAATGAGACTGGCGCTTTTGGTCATGTGTCTGGAGCTTCTGAAGTTACAGTAAAACACAACTTGAGGGCGCTCAAACGCAAAACGGTCTTGCTGAGCACATATACGTAACGGCGAAGAAGATGTGCCAAGTCATCATGTGTGTAGACTACTTCTAACATGTTTGGTTGGTAAAATAAATATGTTGTAAATTCAAATCAGAGAGTCTTCCGTGTCTGGAATGGATGTATTCTTGAGTCTATAAGGTAAAAATAATATAAGAAGATAAGAAGAAGATAAGATTGTTTGAAATGGGTTTGGCTAAAAGAAAATTTTGGTTTCGTCTATAGGCTAGCCTACTACTAGGTAGGCAACTTATATATTGACTGTGTTAAATAGAATTGCCTACTAAAAAGAGACTAAGATACAATTTTCATTGACTAAAACCAGACTGTCTTTCGTCGACTAAAACTAGACTAAAATATCATCAGTTTTCGTTAAATAAAACTAGACTTTTTAAAATGTTGTAGATTTAAGAAGCAGATCAAATTAATGTTTATATTTTGAGAGATTTTCAGTTTTGTTCAAGGTAATTAAAGCGACAGTTTTTCAATAACGTAAGAATATGTAAAAGTATGGTATTTGGGGTAAAAGGCGCCCCTGTCCATTTGTTGACATGACATGGTTACAGTAAATTCAGATGCTAAATATCATACCATATTTATAATGCAACCATTGTTATTATCAAAAATATGATTTCATATCATATAATAACATTTCATGTATTGATACTACAGTAAATCTATATTAGATTATTATGGGATTTACTTCAATGCTTTTATAATCTTTACTTATAGTTTATTGTCTAAATATGTTAATGATTTAGTGAACAAAAATTAATTCTTTATTCATCAAAATAAACAGAAAATCGTACAAACTTTGCTAAAGTGATTGTTTTGAACAAGTTTAAATTTGTCTCAGACATTATTAAAAACATATTATTTTAGCTAAAGTAGTTATATCAATACTGTGTTAGTCTTCCTAAAACGGATTCATAAAATACATCAGCAGGATAAGAATATTTTTCTAAAGGTTAATGGTCATGTTTTGAACAACTTTAATATACCTGCCATTGACAGTGAATAAATGTGCTACTAGAACAGAAGAAAAGCTGCAGGGGAGATTAATATTGGACTTTTCCTCTCTCGTATTAACCGAGTCTCTGCTGTTCTCTCTCCTTGTAACCTTGAGACAGTTCTGAGCAGGAATTCATCTCTAGAAAGCCTTAGGATGAAAGCTGGCACTCACTTGTACTCTGGGGAGAAGGCTGTGATATCTGTGTTGTTGAGCATCCATTTGAACTCCAGAGGCCAGCTGCCCTCCGCGAGGCAGGTCATGACCAGACGGTTCCCTTCTAGGTGGATCTCTGGAGGTCCTGGTTCCGTTTTGAAGTAGGGGGCCACATCACCTGCAGGCAGACATGAAAGAGGCACAGTTAGTAAAGGTGGAAGTTCGCTGTGATGTTACCCTGACCAGGCGCAGACATTATCAAAGATGAGGTCAATATGCAGGAACATCACTGGTTCCTCAATTTACAACAACCACTCTGTGGAAATCCCCGTTCGATAGAGACGCCTGTTTATGCCCATTCCTCAGTGAGAGCAAACAAACAGAGGCAATCACACAAAGGTTATCGTAACATGTTCCTACAAAGGCGGAGAAATCTTTCATGACAGAACCAAAGACAGCCAGCGCCAAACCTTTTAAATCCTCCATCTGCAGATTTCGCCACACTTCACAAGAGCAACGCTCCGAGCTTTGATTTGGAAAAAAAAGAAGCCAGGACACCTGGGTGCAGTGGATCTGACTTCTGTCAGCGGCATTGCTGTGTTTCCACTAAAGCTCAGACAAATCAATTGTGCCGTCCAATGGCTCTTTCATACAGGAGTATAAACCACCTGAAATATGTAAGCGTGAGAACTACGGCTCAGCCGATACGCATTCACTGCAGAAAATCATTTTCTGTATCATTTTTTTGGACAAAAATATTATCTAAACATCAAAAACATTTCCTCGAGAAGCAATATGGTGTGATCTGATGCTTGTTTTAGAAAACACATTTTGAATTAAGTGTAATTCTCTTATTATCTCAGTGCTTTCTAATATAAATGTACAGTTAGATTAAACACAATGCAAAGAAATATCAAAAACATAAGATATTTTCTGAAAACAAGTGTTATCTTATGCGAATAAACTGTGTCAGGGATGTTTAGATAGAAAGCAATGTTCTATAGTGCTGAGAGATATAAAGAGGCTTTCTTTTTTAACCTTGGCCTCTACGGATTCCCGTTTTGGATGTGGAAAAGAAATGTTAATGACTACATTTGTAAAAAACATTCAAATGCAAGTTCTTTAAATTGATTCTTTTGCATTTATACATCAATATTCAGACACATTTAGCTCATGTACCGGTTCCTGAATTGCTGTGTTTCAGTTAAACGGGTGAAATGTCAAGGGGTCACAAACCTGCTGTAGAGCACATGGTGGAGAATGTAGACAGATGCAGCCGAGCTGCTGTGGAGAATATCAATGAGGGCTTTAAAAAGGGAATGAAAGGTGTGAAAGAAGGAGATGGAGTCCAAGGGCCAGTAAGACTCCAGGTGACAGCTGAGAGAGACATAGTGTCCTTGAGGTCAGAGCGATTGTGACTGTGTGGGTGAGAAAAGATGGGCATTGCTTTATGGCCGTTTTATGGGTTTACATTAGCAATCTGTCCAGTATGGAAGACACAAACTGCACATAAGGAACAGATATGGAAGTAGATTTCCTCGTTTTTTGAGGGGCTACGATGAAAATGTATGGCGGGAAAATGTATCTTGCCAATCACGACCCATCCTAGAGCTCCATCTCTGGAGAGTTAAAGGGTTAGTTCACCCAAAAATGAAAATTCTGTCAGTATTTACTCACCCTCATGTTGTTCCAACCCCGTAAGACCTTCGTTCATCTTCGGAACACAAATTAAGATATTTAAGATATTAAGATCGCTCCTGCATACAGTCCATAGGCTTCTTGAGGGACTGGCTCTTGCTGTCCTCGAAAAGTCATTAAAGACATCGTTAAAATAGTCCAAGTGACTACAGGGGCTCAATCTTAAGTTTATCAAACGACGAGAACACTTTTGTGCGCAAAAAAACAACAAAAATAACGACTTTATTTCAACTATTCGTTTATTTCTCCCTCTGCGCGAGTCAGGTTACTAGTTTAATAGCGTAAGCTTCTGTTATTGTACGTCACACGCATCACACACACATGACCAGCGTCGGCCAATAGTGAGCCTACGTGTGACGTAGCTCTACGCAATCACACTACGTTAACTGACTACAGGCTCATGGAGAAGGAAGTGAATAGTTGAAATAAAGTCGTTATTTTTGTTGTTTTTTTGCGCACAAAAGTGTTCTCGTCGTTTGATAAACTTAAGATTGAGCCCCTGTAGTCACTTGGACTATTTTAACAATGTCTTTAATAACTTTTCGAGGCCGGCAAGTTTCAATTCCTCAAGAAGCCTATGGACTAGTATGGAGGAGTGATCCAGCTCTCAGATTTCATCAAAAATATCTTAATTTGTGTTCCGAAGATGAACGAAGGTCTTACGGGGTTGGAACAACATAAGAGTGAGCAAATACTGACAAAATTGTCATTTTTGGGTGAACTAACCATTTAAGGAACCCATTGCTGCGTCCAAGCGCTGTTGGAATAGGTACTAGGTACTACATTTGAATTTGAATAAATTTTGTGACTGTTAAAAAAGTATGCTCTACATAGCATGGATATGGGTGGTATAAATGAAATTCGGATGTACTACATCTGCCATGTTGTTACTGTCGCGTGACCTACCAGCGTCAGTTGCTTCGCTTCACTTCCATTCATAAATCTCCTCCCGTGGCCTAATGGGATAGTAAAGGGTCCACCCAATACACACTTCAGAATCTCGGCAAAACTAGTAGGTCATCCGGTGACTTTTGGCATACTGTTTTTTGAATGCTATGTATTTGGACATAATATTACTTTGTTGTTCTGTTTTTCGCGTACTATACAGTAGGGATGAAATTGATTTCAGACGCTGCCCATTTGTTGCACGGCTATGAAATTAAATAAGCAATAAGCATTTAATGAACAAACATCCCATCCCAGAATTGTTAGGGAATATTAATTGCAGGGTTGATTTTAACACACCAATCCCCTACATGATGAGATGCAGTATTAATTTATGATACTTTGTGTAAAAGTGTATTAAATTTGCTCAATATTACAGAAGCTCTAAATAAAAAAGGCAGCTACATCTTAACTGGCCTATTCAGTGCAATAATACATCACAAAAATGTTTTCTTGAGCTTGAGGGTTTGCACCAATCAAGAGTTGAAGTAATTAAAGCAAATACTCAAAGTTAATCATGGATAATCATTCTAAGATTAATCTCAGACTGTGCTACAACTAAAAGGTTCAGTCTTCCTCTTCCTTCCCTTCCGTCTCTTTAGTTGTACACCTCAGAGGGAAATGATGTCTGCAAGCTGACACCTGCTCACCTCTAAAGCATTTAAATCTCCTAAATCTAAATTGTATTCCAAGTATTCCCACATGGCATTTAACCAAGAGTTAGGCAACACTGAAGGAAATGTCTCAACTGCCATGAGGACATGAGGAGCTCTGATTCCCTAAAAGAGTTCAAAAACAGAACCCTGCTCATGTTGTTCTATCCGTTTATTTGCTGTAAACATCGAAGGATGTGCCAGGCTTGACACGCCTCTTATATCATTCCTCTCGCACCGAAATAAAACCTGCAAAATGTTAGTAGCCTTATGGTTGGTTGTAAATATAAAAAAGAGTAGCGAGGAAACCGCGCACCCAAGTTTAATCGTCTTCTCCGGGGTGAGGAGCACCTTGTTAAAAACTTTCCAGACGTTAGTATCAATCCATTTTTCATCGGACGCATTTCACTTCTTTAGCTAGCAGCTCTCCTCTGACAGAGTGATTCGGCTCTCACTCATCGTGCTTCTTATTCTCATTTGATGTTATGAAGATGAGGGGGAAATGCATTTCTAATTTAATTTCAGACTCTGAAAGGGACGTATCACAAAAAGCAGGATTTTCCATTCTAATTTTGCTCTTTTGAAAGTGAAGAGCCCAAGTAATATTCACAATTCAAAGCTGTAGGACAAAATGGTTTCATCACTGACTATGATATTAACAAAATTTCACAAGTTGTTACGAATATGAGTAGACTTCATGACTCTCGATTGCAATTCCGATACCACAGAAGACACTAATATGCTATTTGAACATTAGACAGTAGTGGCCAAAAGTAATTAAGTAATATCTACTTTGGAAAATTTACATTTTATTTAATTTTAATTACATGCTTTATTTAAATATTATTAATGTGTTAAAGATTTTGTAAGCATAGTTGATGTCAGGAGTCAATGAAACATGCCAAATTGTGCATACATCATTTTTGGCCAGACTGTCACACATAGAAATTATAATCACATACAAAAACAAGATTATTTTTGAATCAAGAAAACATTACTTTATTTTTATTTATTTTTCTAATTTTCAAGACAAGTAAACAATCAGTAATAAAATTAAAGAATTAAAAGAAAAGGAAGTTCAAACGACAATCTTTTTTAAAAAAATATATAAATCTTTTGTAATTTTATAAATAGCTTTACTGACACTTTTGACCAATTTAATGCCTCCTTGCTTCAAAAAATAATTTCTAATAATTAAATGAAAATATCTGACCCCAAAATTTTTGAGGTTTTGGAAAGAAGTCAATCTGTAATGTCATGTGATTTCTCGGGACACTTATTTCAGTCATTTCTCTGAAGCAGTTGGGACATTTTCTGCATGCTATTCAAGCCAAATAACTACCCACATTTGCATATCAAAATCTATTCAGTATACTGCAGCTTGCCCAAAAATTGCAATTTATGCGCTCTCGCCCTCTCTCTAAAAGATTAGGATTGTTAGTATTAATTTACATTTAAATATATGAAAATATCCAGTATAACTTGTACTTAAACCCCTGGTGTTTAATGGGAACCATGAAGTATGCTGCATTTAAAGGTACAGTATATCGAAAACAGCCCGCTTCTGAGAGGGCCTGAGAAAGGGCAACTAAATTACAACCTATGAATACTCGACTAACATAAGTGGACTTTAGAGGACAAATAAATAACTCCGCATTTGTAGAATGTGACACCTTTAAAACAATTTTTTTTCTGATTATGTCTCAGAATAATGGTATAAAAAACATACAATTTGCACTCACTTTTATCAGAGAGTGTGTAAAGAGAATATCAGTGGTGTATACAAGGAAAATCTGTCACCGACAAAAGTACACACTCATCATGATGGGTTATCTCATGTTTGCAACTAACATTGTTCATCTTGACAAAAAAAGGCCAAAGA